GTTTTCTTATTATTATTACAAGTAATATACTATTAAGCAGTCTTTTGGATACTCTTGAGGATCTCTAAGGCTGACAAGATTGGTAATGAATACTGCGTTGGACAAGTTTTTTTTAATGTTTTTTGAATTAATTTTTACTGGCTTAATTTCAATCATTTTTTGGAATTTTAAATTGATTTCCTACATTTAACAATGTTTACAATTGAATGGTAAAGTCACTTTTCATAAAACTTGAAGCTTCGATCCTAATATAAGAGTGTACTCCGTTTCTTGCATAATTTATACTGTATGAAAATTTTATTTGAATGCAAAATGGATACAGCCATCAATTTTAAAACCTTTTAATGTGTAGGAAAAAAACTTAAAATGCCACAAAATAAGGATCATTAAGCATGTAAGAATTAATTAAGGAAAAGCGTTCAATGCAGTATTCAAGATATAGTTTTTATTTTTATGCAAAATTATTGTTACCATCATTTTTAACATGTCTCAAAGTGTGGGAAATGAATTCAAAATGTAAAAAAATAATGAAAATCAAGCTCTTAAAAATCAATTGAATTGTAAGACCAATTACAGTATGGGAGTTGATCAACCAACTCCCAAATATCGGAGAGTCAACTCCCAAACCCAGGTTTCTCCGAAATTTGGGAGTCAATTCCCCAAACCCGTGAGTGGGTTTGGGAGTTGGCCTCCAAAAAAATTTAAATAAAAAAAAAGAAAACCCCCGGCGGGGTTTGGGTGTCAATGCCAGAACCAAAAAAAAAAAAAAACAGCCAGGAGGATTCCTCCCAGCCTCGGAGAGTGCTCTTGACGGCTGAGCGAAATCCCTCTCAGCCATTGAGTATAAACCTCAACGGCTGAGAGAAAACCCTCTCAGCCATTGAGTATAAACCTCAACGGCTGAGAGGGTTTCTCTTGGAGGTCAAGGGTGTACACCCCAACGGCCGAGGGAAACTTCTCGGCCGTCGAGACCTCAACGGACAAGAGAAACCTCTTGGCCGTCGGAGGTGTAGCCCTCGACGGCTGAGTGAAACCTCTCGGCCATCAAGGGTGTACACCTCAACGACCGAGAGGAAACATGTACGACCGAGAGGGTTTCCTCTTGGTCATTGAAAATGTATACCCTCAACGGCCAAGAGTGTACCTCCTGGTCGTTGAGGGTATACACTCTCGATGGCCGAGAGGATTCCTCCCGGGCGTCGAGGGTGTACCCTCAACGGCGTGTACCTCTCGGTCGTCAAAGTGTACACCCTCGATGGCCGAGAGGATTTCTCTTGGCTGTTGAGGTGTACACCCTTGACGGCTGAGAGGTTTCTTTTGGCCGTTGAGGGTTATACCCTTAACGCCCGAGAGAAATTCTCTCGGCCGTCCATGAAGCACTCTCTCCGGGAGGAATCCTCCCGGCCGCTGGTTTTATTTTATTTTATCACCGACCCCCCAAAACCACTTGGTTTTGGGGCATCGACACCCAACCCCTCCGGGGTTTTTCTTTTTTTTTATTTAATTATTTTTGAGGGCCGACTCCCAAACCCACCAACGGGTTTGGGGAATCGACTCCCAAATTTCGGGGAAACCCGGGTTTGGGAGTCGACTCTCCAATATTTGGGAGTCGGTTGATCAACTCCCTACAGTATTCAGAATGAACCATTGATTTTTATGGAAATTGAATGTTACCATTAAATTCTAAAAACTTTGAAATGTAGGAAACAACTTTAAAATTTCAAAAAAGCATAAAATATAAGGCAAAAAAACTAATGCAAACAATTGAGTGAAAAAGTGAAGAATTAAATAAACAAAACGGTGTCAAATGCAGTATACAAGATGTAGTTCTCATTTTGGTGCAAAGCGATTCTTACCATAAATTTATACATGTCTGAAAGTGTAGGAAAAAAATTTAAAATGTCAAAAAAGAATGAAAATTAAGCTCTAAAAATTTAAGTGAAAAAATAGGTGTAATTTGAGTATTAAAAGTGAAATGTTGAGTTTTAAAAAAATTGGATTGCACCATTGAATTTTAAGTACATTAAAACCTAGGAAATAAATTTAAAATTTCAAAAAAACATAAAAAATAAGGTACATACATGTATGCAAACAATCAATTTAGAAATGAGTGAAAAAAAATAATTAATAATCAAAATTCATTTTTATGGAAAATGGTTTTTACCATTAAATTCTACACCTTTTAAAGTGTAGGAAAAAACTTTAAAAATCCAAAAAAACTTGAAAAATAAGTGGTAAAAAATTATATACAAAACCGTGTTTAAACACAGAAACCGCGTACGCTGTGCCGCATCAAAACCGTGTGTAAACGCGGAAAAACCGTGTTTTTTTATCAATGCCCTTTCTTTATGTTTTTTTTTTTGAGTTAGTAAAAAGAAACAATTTTTTACCACCGTGGTGGCCCTCCATCAGTGTCAACAACAGCCTGCATCTGGTGGGGCATAGACTCGAGGAGGTGATTGAAGGTTTGGGTCGGATAGTCATCCCAGGCCTGGCTGATTGCTTACTTGAGTTTGGGGATTGATTGTGGGTTGTAGAGGGTTTAGATGGCCACCTTGAGGTCCTTCCAAACATTCTCGATGGGGTTGCGATTGGGGGACTGGGCCGGCCTGTTGTCGATCTTCCTTAAAGATGGACATTGGACATTGGTACCCTGGTACCTCCTTTGTTTTTCTCAGAAATGGACACCAGGCACCTCACCTGGCACCTGGGGGTTGATAAGTGCAAGCCAACCCCCCTTGCGCACGCCAGCTGTAGATTGGTGTGCGTGCCTGCACGCCATTGCAGAATGGCGTGCAGGCAGGCACGCCACTTGCCTGCAGGTTGGAGTGCCTGCCTGCACGCCCAATATATGCGGTCCTAAACGCATATTTATATGCATTTATAGAGAGGCCGAGGTCACACCGCCGGGAGGAACCCCTCCCAGCAAGCGTCTACATGCCAGCTTGTTGGAAGGGGTTCCTTCCGACAAGCTGGTATAAAAACCAGCTTGCCGGGAGGAACCCCTCCCAAAAAACCAGTGTACATGCCAGCTCATCGGAAGGAATCCCTTCCAACAAGCTGGCACATAATCCAGCTTGTCGCAATGGATCCCTTCCGACGAGCTATTCCATAATCCAGCTCATCGGAAGGGATTCCTTCCAAAAAGCTGGTACATAATCCAGCTTGTCGGAAGGGGTTCCTCACAACGAGCTGGTACATAATCCAGCTTGTCGGAAGGTATCCCTTCCGACGAGCTGGTAGTTAAATCAGCTTGTTAGGAGGGGCTCCTCCCGGTGAGATGCTTGCTGTGTTGTCTCTATCACTCCAGCCTCTTTTCAATCACAAGGCCAGCTTCTCTAAACCTATCACTCCAGCCTCTCTTCAGTCACAAACCTGGCTTCTCAGGATGGTAGTCATGTTTCCTTTGGGTTTTCCCAATGTAGAAATCACCCTAGGGTGGGTGAATGGAGTACCAAAACATCAATGATTTCAAAGTTCTCTCTCTCTATTTTTTTCGGCCTGAGATAAAAAAAATGTAACAAATCAGACACGTACTGCAATGCGTTGACCGGGTTTGTTTGTTCAGACTTAAGGCTAGACATTGCTTGCCTTTTGGGACCGGGCCGACCAAGATCCAATCGTTTTTGAATCCAGCAGGCAAGCCCAGCGAGAGGTCCAAAAATTCAGCCCTCATACAAGGGTCTCAAAATCTGCGGTACTTGTTGGGCTTAGAAGCTGAGGCTGATTGCAGGTCACGTCAGCCTTGTCAACCAAATCCTCCTGGTTGAAGAGGTTGTACACCTTTGCCGGCCAGGATTCCCTCCTGGTCAACGAGGTTGTACAACCTTGCCGGCCAGGATTCCCTCCTGGTCGACGGGGTTGTACAACCTTGCCGGCCAGGAGGATTCCCTCCTGGCCGGCAAGGTGGGCCTTGTCAACCTTGTAGGACACCGGCCGGTGTCCTACAAGTATTGACAGGTTTTTTTTTTCAAACACTTATAGGCTATCCCATAGGACCCATGCCTGGGTCCTATGGGATATCCCTGGTCCTAAACCCATACTGATATGGGTTTAGGACCTGCACGCCAATCTACGCCAATCAAATCTTGCTGCAGATGGGGGTGCAGGCCTGCACGTCAATCTGCTTTGGCATGTTGGCCTGCACGCCAATCTGCAAGTGGCGTGCAGATTGGCATGTGCGAGGGGGGTTGGCTTGCTCCTGGTCAACGAGGTTGTACAACCTTGCCGGCCAGGATTCCCTCCTGGTCGACAAGGTTGTACAACCTTGCCGGCCAGGAGGATTCCCTCCTGGCCGGCAAGGTGGGCCTTGTCAACCTTGTAGGACACCGGCCGGTGTCCTACAAGTATTGACAGGTTTTTTTTTCAAACACTTATAGGCTATCCCATAGGACCCATGCCTGGGTCCTATGGGATATCCCTGGTCCTAAACCCATACTGATATGGGTTTAGGACCTGCACGCCAATCTACGCCAATCAAACTTGCTGCAGATTGGGGTGCAGGCCTGCACGTCAATCTGCTTTGGCATGTTGGCCTGCACGCCAATCTGCAAGTGGCGTGCAGATTGGCATGTGCGAGGGGGGTTGGCTTGCGCTTATCAACACCCCTGGCGGGTACCAGAGGTATTTTGTGCGGGTACTGGCGGTAATTTGGGCGGGTACTGGTGGTACTTTGGGCGGGTACTGGTGGTACTTTGGGTGGGTACCAGCTGTACCAGCAGTGCAAATAGCACTCTTATGAATTGAAATTGCAGTTGACTTTTTTTTCTCACTACATGAGAGTATTTGTTGAGCTAATCATCTAATACTACCACATTTCTTTTCCCTTTCCCATCTGATTTACCCTTCTTAGCAGTCTGAATACAATCTTTCCACTTGGCCAACCCCCCTTCCTTGATCATCCCATTCTTTGAGTAGAAGGCAACGGCCATCCCCCTACTTAGTGACTGCGCGGTAAAGAGTGTACCTCTAGTGGTACCCTGGTACCGCCTTTGTTTTGCTCAGAAATGGACACCAGGTACCTCACCTTGCACCCCCGGCAGGTGCCAGGTGGGTCCGGGCGGTACCAGGCAAACAGGTGCCGGGTACCAATGTCCATCTTTAATCTTCTTGATACCATGGCTGGCTTGGTATGTGCGTCTGAGGATGGTGGTGTGGACAGGTGCATTGTCCTCCATGAGGGTAGGACGATGCACCTCATTGATATTGTCCATGAAGGGCTGGAGGCCCTTCTCGTAGACATTTTCAATGAAACTGGTGGTGTTTCTCTGGCCGGGGGGGGCATGAAGAGAACTGGGGCCTTCGTTCTATCAAAGAAGCCACCCCAAAGCATCATCAACAACCGTCCGCTTTGGAAAGTCGGCTTGAGGCATTCAGGGCAATATTTTTGTCCATTTGCCGCCAGACCAAGATTGCTTTGGAGTTCTTACCCAGCTCAAAATATGGTTTGTTGGTCCAGAGTACCAAGGGCCAATCGTCGACGTTCCAGTTGAGGTGAGCTGTTGTAAAGGCAAGCTGCCTAGCTGCTTGCTTATTGTTCACAAACAGCTTCTTGACAGCCCTTTGGTTTTGGTACCCAAGCTTGTTTGCACGTTGGCAAGGGTTCGGATTGAGATTGGAGTCGCCAGCTGCTCCACAATCTCCCTCATTGGGGCCTGGTGCTGATCGTCAAGGACTTACTGGAGTTGTCGTTTGTCATGCTCAGTGGTAAGGGGACGTCGACCAGTTGGGGGTTTTGATTCATTGGTTCTGTGATCCTTCCAGCGGTTGATGATCCCTGAAATGGTTGATCTTGCCTTTCCAAACTCTTGAGAGAGGTAGGCAAGGCTCTTGCCTGCCCTTGCCATCCCTACAATCACTGACTTTGTCTCTGTTCAAAGGTGCAGCTTTTGATTGGGTTTTGTTTGGTGTGGAACTACTCTTTGGTGGGAATAGAGCTTAGAGAGGGATGAGACCTTGAAGGGCTGCCTCTCTGGTTACTGGGAGAGTAAGAAGAACAAGAAATAAGAGTATGGACTCTTAAAGAAAGGTGTGGCTCAATGAAGATGTAATATTTGTAAAAGGGTAAGGTATGAGGATAATAAGTCTGTGTGAAATGTCTTAATTCTGTAATTCTAAATATATTCCAAGTAAGTAATGCTAAATCAATGACCAGGGAGCAATAATGACAACTCTGATAGGGGACAAATGGCAACGGCCAAGAGAGCACTACATATAAGTCTTCTGAGAGGTATAAGAAAACAAGGAGCAAGGCATCATCACAGGGTACATGTAACAAGGCAACAACATGGCTTGGGAGACAGGCTTGGGAATGGCATGTGTGACAAGGGTGAAACAAGGCTGAAGCAACAGGGATGGAAACATGACATATGTGGCTACTTTAAAAATTTGCAATGGTATGTAATAAACAGAAAAAAAGATGAATAAGAGCAAGGGTGTTTCCCAACAGTCTGGCTTTCTGGAGTGTTGGACTTTCTCCCACTTTATACCTGATTTGTATTTATTTTATTACCAAGTGTGGCTGGTGATCCATGTGGAGTGTTACTGATGGGTTGTTAGACTTTGTGGGTTCTGATGGAAGTGTCTTTGGGATGATTGAAGGTGGCCAGGAGTGTATTACATATGTAGGATGTTGGTTTGATGGTTGTTATGATATGTAGAAGATGTAAAAATGGTCCAGAAAGGTGGTAAAAAGGTGTAACAGGTTTTGATTGGTCTTACCAGATTGGACCATCTTGAGCAGAAAAAGAATGTTAGTTCAGAAGAAGAAAAAAAAACCACTTACATTCAATATAATGATAAAACTAAAGGATTTGGAAAAGGTATGGTCAACAGACCATTGCCAATGACCAACTTGAGAGGTGTAGCCAGTACACCCAAGTGTCACAGGGGGTGACACCCACAAAATCTGAACCCGCAAGCGGTGTTTGGATTTTTCTGTCAACCCACTGTACATATAAATCATTAATTTTTGAATAAGTGAAATCACTATAATAGATATATTATTACTCAGTACTTTAATTTTTACTTGTCGTGAAAGAAAAACATGAAAATAAACCAAAAACATTTATAAATAAATATTTCAACAAGAATCTACACATAGCTTCCGAACCTTAAGCAAAAGTAAGAATATTATTGCAGATTCTTAATTTGAATGAAAAATAACCTAGGGTACCTCACCACAGGTACCCCTTAATTAGCACTCCTTCAGGTACTTCTGTGTACTCTGAGTGACATCTGGCCATTTTGCTAGAAACCCTCCCAGTTACATCATACTACATGTTGTGACAGGTCTGCACACTCAAATAAGGTTAATTCAGTTCGGGAAAAATCTAAAAATAAGTTTTACATCATTGAAACCTTAACTACATGGTCACAACAACTGTAACTGGCTGGGCAAAAGCCATTTGTGGCCCTTTTTGGACCAATTTGGCTAACTACGCCTTGTTGGGACTGGCCCACTGGTCATTAAAGAGTCCCAGTGACCAAAAAATGGATGAAGTTTTGTCACAGCACCCCTCAGTGTGTGTTACAAGCCTCACTTCAGCCCTCTGACACCTGTAACCAAGGACTACAGGTGCCTAGGCAGTGCTACAGGTCACCAATGCCTAGTAGAAGGCTTGCACCTGCAAGATATAGTTCTGAGTTTGCCTCCAAGAGCCCATAATGAGTACATAAGGAGCGCTTCTTGCCCTGAACTCACATTCCCCATCTTCATCATCACTTACCAGCAATAACCACCTCCAACAACCAGTTTTCACCGGTTTTTTGGCCCAGTTCCTGCTGTTTTTCATCCTGAATTTCAACCAACCAACCATCAAATGTTCCACAGAACTCTCTTACCACCTGTTACCTAGTTTTCTGAGCACTTCAAGACCAGTTTTCACCCACCTGAAGTCCCCTTGGCTTGGAAATAGTACTAAGTAGGCAATATTTCCTTGATACTTCAGTTGTAGGCATTGTCTGGGCATACTCCTTCTACAAAAAGTACCAGATCATCATGTACATAAAAAATACCCCTGTTTTAACAGGTCCTGATTCATTGGAGGGCACCATAAAAACCCCTGTAACTCAGGCCCCTCCCTTTATAAGAAGGGAGTTGGTCAACCGACTCCCAAAAATTGGGGAGTCAACTCCCAAACCCGGGTTTACCCGAAATTTGGGAGTCGATTCCCCAAATCCATCCTTGGGTTTGGGAGTCGGTCCCCCCAAAAAATTTAAATAAAAAAAAAGAAAAACCCCGGAGGGATTGGGTGTTGATGCCCCAAAACCAAGTGGTTTTGGGGGGTTGGTGATCAAAAAAAAAAAACCAGTGGCTGGGAGGATTCCTCCCGGCCGCGGAGAGTGCTCTCTTGATGGCCGAGAGAGTTTCTCTCAGCCGTCGAGGGTCTACAACCTCAACGGCCGAGAGGGTTTCTCTTGGCCGTTGAGTATAACCCTCAACGGCTGAGAGTTTCTCTCGGCGGTGGAGGGTGTACACCTCAACAGCCGAGGGAAACTTCTCGGACGTTGAGACCTCTCGGCCGTCGAGGGTGTACCCCTCAATGACTGAGTGAAACCTCTTGGCCATTGAGGGTGTACACCTCAACAACCAAGAGGGTTTCCTCTCGTTTGTTGAGAATGTAAACCCTCAACGGCCAAGAGTGTACCTCCCGGTAGTTGAGGGTATACACTCTCAACGGCCGAGAGGATTCCTCCCAGCCGTCAAGGGTTTACATTCTCAACGACCGAGAGGAAACCCTCTCGGTCGTTGAGGTGTACATACTCGATGGCCGAGAGGTTTCACTCGGCCATTGGGGTGTACAGCCTCGACGGCCGAGAGCTTTCTTTTGGCCGTTGAGGGTTATATCCTTATGTAATGCCCAAGAGAAACTCTCTCGGCCGTCGAGAGAGCACTCTCCGCGGCCGGGAGGAATTGTTCCGGCCACTTGGTTTTTTTTTTTTTTGATCACCGACCCCCCAAAACCACTTGGTTTTGGGGCATCGACACCCAACCCCTCCGGGGTTTTTCTTTTTTCCATTTAATTTTTTTTTTGGGGGCCGACTCCCAAACCCACACATGGATTTGGGGAATCGACTCCCAAATTTTGGGGAAACCCGGGTTTGGGAGTCGACTCTCCAATTTTTGGGAGTTGGTTGACCAACTCCCTATAAAAACCTAATAGTTTTTATTATTTCTCTTCTTAATATTAAAACCTCCCCATTCCAAGTGTTACCCACACTTGTAAACCTTTTTTCTTAGCTTTGCACCTTGTGTAGCTAGAAGATTCAAGCTCTTGGCATAACATAAGCTGACAGACAAGGCACAGCCTCATCAACCAGAAGGTCTTCCTTCTGGCCAACAAGGTACATGTGCCTTGTCAACTGGAAGGTATTCCTTCTGAAAACAATGTAACTGATGTGATGCATGCATAGGCATTGCATTGTATCAGGCCTGTCTTGCATTTTAGGGGCTCCACATCAGATTCTTTGATACAGAGCATCAGTATTGCATTGACAAAGCAATGCAATTTGATGCACTATAATTTGGTGGCATTAATGGTTTGCATTGCTTTCAAATACAATTTCAATGCAATGCATTGGTATCAAAATAATGTGCATCACTTAAACCATGTGATGCCAATACATATTGGCTATTTATTGCATCACATCACATTGTTTCACCGTTGGTTTTGACCAACAAGGTACATGTACCTTGTCAGCCAGAAGGAAGACATTCTGGTTGATTGTTGGCTGCCCCCTCCAACCACCCTTGGTGTGATTTAAGGGGCGGATATCTGAGGAGAACCGCTCGGATACCCGCTAAGACTGAGGGATACCTGCCAGAAGATGTGGATGACTGATTCTGCTAAAAAAGCAGGCGGACATCCAAATCCGCAAATGAAGAAGAGTAGAATGTGTCACACAACATTCTATGGTCAAGCCTGTCTGTTTCATAACCTTTCCAGTTGCATTGCTTTAAAGGTCCTGGCCAATTGGACAGACTGCATCAACAGCCCAAGAAAGGTTCTTCAACTGCATCAACTTAGTTTGCATGATACCTGAGCCATCTTTAAAGAAGAAATACCAGAGCATGTGGGGATTTTTTATTGATGACGGAGGAATACAAGGACCAAAATCAACATATAACAGTGAAAAATTGAAATAAAATAAAGAAATAAGGAAATTTGTGTTGCTTTGTTGAGGCCAGAGGTAGCCCTCATGCCTTTGAGACGGTGTACAGTCTTGAAAACTGGAGGAATCCCTCCAGTCATCAAGACGGATTTCTGGGTATATTTACCTGCAAAAAATCCACCACACCCACAGGTACCCGGGTACCCACCCTGGCAGACCTGGCAGGTGCAGGTGCAAGTGTCCAAAATATTGGAATTTTGAGGCAGGTACCCAGGTATGAAGCGACATCTCTAGAATGGTTTTTTTTACAAAAAAAAAGAAAAAAAAACTGGCCCCCCTTGGCCTAGAGAGCAGAGGCCATGTTGCCAGGAGGAATCCCTCCTGGCGAGCCGGTACCAAATCCAGCTCATCAGAAGGAATCCCTTCTGATGAGCTGGTATTTATCCCAGCTCGCCAGGACAAATCCCTTCCCGGCAAGCTGGATTGTGCACACCAGCTCGCTGAAAGGGGTTCCTCCCAACAAGCTGGTGCACATACCAGCTTTCCGGGAGGGACTCCTCCCAACAAGCTGGTCTAAAATCCAGCTCGCCGGCAGGAACCCCTCCCAACGAGCTGGTTTAAAATTCAGCTTGCCGGGAGGACCCCTCCTGACAAGCTGGTACACAGACCAGCTCGTCAGAAGGGAGTCCTTCCGACAAGCTGGTTCAAAATCAATCTCACCGGGAGGAAACCCTCTCAGGGAGCTGGCATGTAGATGCTTGTTGGGAGGAGTTCCTCCCAACGGTGTGGCCTCTGCACCTCTAGGCCAAGTTGAAGGGGGGCCAGGGTTTTTTTTCTTTACTTTTTTGCAAAAAAATCCCACTAGCCCACATTTGCCCACCAGTAAAAGGGCGGGTATCTACAGATATCCGCGCAGACACCTGCCAGTGCCAGCGGATGAGGATGCCGGATTCCGCTGAAATTGTCAGCAGATATATCCGCATCCGCGCTGATATCTGGATTTGAATCGACCATCTCTAATAGACTAATATTCTGTGACTTTGGAGATGATTTTATTCAGGATAAAAGAAGCAGGCCTTACCATATCACAAGAAAAATTTAGTTGTTATTTATCAGCTTTGGAAGTAGTTGGACATGTGCTATCTCAGGCTGGAAAAGTTAATTTGAATTTATAAGTGAAATTTTATTGTTAACAATTCCCAGTAGCATTGGAATTTGCCATAACTATAAATAAATTCCAGGGACAACCTATGAATCAAATTTCCTTATTTGTGAAGGGGCAATTTTTCTCTCTTGGAAAACTGTAGGTGGGGTTGTCTTTTTTCAAGGATGTTCAGAATTTATTTTTAGCTGAAGTTGGGTCTGACTCAAGCCTAATCAATGTGGTGGTCAAACAGATACTTGGACATAGTAAAATTGCACAGGAGGATGAA